CATCAGGGAGCCGGAGCTGCGCCTGGTCAGCCTGGGCGGGACGCCACGGAGCGAGGCAGCGCTGGAGCTGGTGTGCCGGGAGCTGCAGCACTTGCAGGATTACTGCCAGCCCCACGCACCAGGTGAGGGGTCGCAATGTCCCCTTGGTGTCCTGACCCCACGGTGCCAGGGTGGCCCTTTTTTGGGGATGATGGAGTGAGGGAGTGTCGTAACCCAGCTGCCCGGAGGGGTTATATGTTGGTAAAGTTTCAGGCTGTCGAGGACAGATCTGAGTTAGAGTAACACCCAGATTCTTCTCCGGCCGCCTTAATTCCACCCAACTGTTCAGTGTGGGTGTATGTGTAATAAAATAGGAGATACACCAATCAGACATCTGGATTACCAACATATCTGAGCACTTTATTGAGCCTCTAGATAACTCGTTAATGCTGGTAAGGTTACATCTAACAGGGTGTCCTTTATAAAATCACTTTAATAGCAACAAGAATAATAATAATAACACAGATGATACTCAGGGTTGCAGTTAAGGCGACTGGCAGTGGCACCCGGCCAGGTGTTATCTCTGCTATTATTGCTGTAGCCATCAATTTATATGTATTTAATAGCAGCAAGAACAATAATAACACAGGCAGCGCAGTCAAGCACCCCTGGCTGGGAGGATGTCACCGCACTAGTGAGGTCCTCAGCTAGTTCTGTCCTTTAAAATCAGCTTTTCTAGAGTTGCTTTTTATCTCTGTGTAATTCCAAACAGCTGTGATCTGAAAACAAACCACGAACTAACAGGTTTTTGGTGGGGAAAGTGCCTTTCTAGCTTTTTGCTCGCTGCGGTGTTTTCATTTGGCAAAGTGTTTCTGTGGTTTCGCGTTCGCGGTGTTCGCTGCCGCGCACCATCCAGTCTAGAGCTGCTGAGAGAGGGGGGCTGAAAGAGAGAGGGGTTTTGGTCCCCCCAGGGAGCAGGTAGCGCAGCAGCCATCAGCTTTGCTTTCCTTTTTTTTCAGGAGCCTTGCTCAAAGCTGCCTTCATCTGCACCCAGGTGGTGCAGTTCCCCTCGCAGAAACCCCTGCGGGCCCAGCTGATGGAGAGCTTCGGGGGTGGGTTTGAGGTGCACACCTGGTCCAAGCTGCCCCACGGGTCTGGCCTTGGTAAGTCTGCAGGGAAAGGGCTGGGGAGTCCCTCCTGCTGCCAGCACCAGGATGGGACGTCCCCCTCGCTGGCTGGCACGGGGACACATGGTGCCTCGCTGCCCTGGCACCCCACCTGTGCTCCACGCAGGCACCAGCAGCATCCTGGCGGGAGCGGTGATGGCATCACTGTACCGGGCGGCTGGGAAGGTGGCCAGCACCGAGTCCCTCATCCACGCGGTGCTGCACCTGGAGCAGAGGCTCACCACAGGTAGTGGCCAGGGGTCACAGGCAGCCCACAGGGTGAGGGGCTCGGCGGTAGCTGAGTACCCTCTGCTCTGTAGGCGGCGGTTGGCAGGACCAGGTGGGTGGGCTGGTGCCTGGCATCAAAATCGGGAGGTCAAAGGCCCAGCTGCCGCTCAGGGTGGAGGTGGAGAAGATCCCAGTGCCCGACGGTTTTACCCAGACCCTCAATGATCACTTGCTGCTGGTGTACACAGGGAAGACTCGCCTGGCCCGCAACCTGCTCCAGGTAACACCTGGGTGCCCCTGGGTGCCGCAGGATCTGGCCTCTGGAGCTCTGCCACCCCAACGGGAGCTGGCACGGAAGGCTGTGGGTGCAGTGCTACCTGCCCGGGTGCTGTTGGCACTGGGAGGGTGGTGACAGGGACATTGTGGCGTGTTGCAGGACGTGGTGAGGAACTGGTATGCCAGGCTGCCCTCTGCCGTGCAAAACGCTGACCCGCTGGTGAGCAACGCCGAGGAGTGCGCCCAGGCCTTGAGGCAAGGTGTGAGCACCCTGTCCTGGGTCAGGCCGGCCCTTTTATCCACTGAAGAGACACAAATTTCCTTGGGGAAGAGTCTGTGCAGTGCTGGGGGGGCAAAAGCTGGGGGGATGCAGGCTCTTGCAGCTGCAGAATCCTCAAATCCTTCCCTTCCAGGCCTGGCATATTACCAGTAATGCCAAAAATCCAGCATAATACAGGCAATGCCCCAAAATTCAGGCTTGAGCGAACGCTTTGTGGAAGGGGAGGTTAAGCACACCAAATCTGGTCAATTTTCTGCGAGCCACCCGTCACGGGGCCCGTGCAGCGGATTCATTTGGCCTTTGGTTGCTGCAGAGGGGAAGCTGGAGCGTTAAAGCAAACAAATTCTCACCCTTTAGAGGATTAAAAATAAACAGCAACGCGACAGTTTGCTGCCTTGGCAGGCAGAGCTGGGAGGAACTGGGTGGATGAGAAGGTGGAATTTAGCTTGGGTGGGAGAGGCAGAGAGTTTTCTGCTCCTTGGGCAAGAAATAGAGGCAAATAGTTTGTGAAACCTTCTCCCCTGCAGGTAACCTGCCGCTCATCGGCGAGTGTCTGGACCGGTACTGGCAGCAGAAGAAGTGCATGGCCCCGGGCTGTGAGCCGCTGGCCGTGGGGCGCATGATGGACGCTCTCCGGTCCCACGTCTACGGGCAGTGCTTGGCGGGGGCTGGCGGCGGAGGCTTCCTTTACATCTTGACCAAAGCCCCTCGGCAGAAAGAAGCTTTGCAGCGAATTCTGGCAGACATTGAGGTGAGGGGTGAGCTCCTGGGCGCTTCGCTGTCGCAGGCAGCTCACAGAAGCTCGCTTTGGATAGCACAAGCACTAGGAGCATCTCACCCTACCTCGGGCGGGATGAGTTTGCTTGTTGTCACCTTAGGCCTCCCCAGGACCCTGGAGGTGAGAGCAGGTCCCTTGCGGTCTCCTGCCCCAACCTGTAACTATTTTTTCTGGTTTTTTTTGTTTTCTAGGGACTGGGCAACTTCAGCATCCACAGCATCGAAGTGGACACAGGTGGTTTCTCCGTGGACGTTGTGGGATGTGATCTGAAGGATGGTGCTCACCCCAGAGAGGACGTGGCTGTGTGAAGACCTTCAGCCCTGACCCGTTCCTGGCAGAGATGCAGAGCAGGGGAGGGAGTAGCCAGCTGCCTTTCAAGCAGGGACATCCTCACTGCTTCAGAGACAGCTCCAGCAGGTGCCTTAGGTCTTCCTGTGGCCTTTTTGTGCTGCTACTTGCCCCAAGAGCCACAGAAGCTGGAAGAGCTGTGATGAGCTGGTCAGGCAAAACCATCCCCAGAGGGTGGCCTTGGTGGAAGGACAGTCAGCTAGAGCCTCCAGGCTCATTTTGGGGTTTCACCCCAGTTTTTATGGTTCTCCAAAAGGAAAAAAAAAAAAAAAAGAATAACATTTGTGATGCTGCCTCTAGCAGGAACCTTCCTGCTTTTCCAGCAGCATGGCATGCTCCTGCACCAAGGATGCACCTGGATGTGGAATGAAGCCCCTGTCCTGTGCTGAGAGTCTGGTTTTGCAGTGAGTTACTAGTCCCTGCAGTCTCTTTGAATAAACAAACTTGTTCCCAGTTTGTGTTTCTGCCCCTCTGTCCCTAGCAGGGCTCCTCCTTCCCTGGGGGAGAGCAAGGGCCCAGCAATGCGGGGGCAAAGCTCTTCCAGGGGTGGGGAAGGCGGCACCCACGTGCAGGGGCTGGTCCTCACCCTCCACAGCCCTGGGTGACAGGGACAGCAGGGGAACATGGCCAAACCACAGGCTGGCACCAGGTACCATCTCAGGGGTGTTTGTACTCAGTGGGGTGGGGGCAGGAAGATCCTCCTGACGCTGTGGCACAGGGTGGAAGAGGAGAAATGGCCAAGTTTGTGTCTTTCCAGCTCCCTCCCAGCTCACAGACACATGCTCCACCTGAGATCACTGCTCAGCCAGGTGAGGTTTATTTCCAGGGCACAGGGATCACGGGGCACAGTGAGCCAGCAGGGACACAGCCCCACTTCCTACAGCGGCTTTCCAGGGAATTTCCAAGCACCCTCCCCACAAGGAAATAATTCCTTTTCCCTTCTACAAAATGGTCCCTAATGGCACCAGGATAGAGCCAGGGCTCAGGATGTGTAGGACTCCAGGAGCTGACCCTTAATGCTGGTGACACAGAAGGAACAAGACTGTGGCCAGCAGCACGGGCAGGGCTTGCCCGTGTTTTAACCACAGCACACAGCCCCAGAGTTTCCTGGACCTCCCGTGCCTCCCACAGGGCAGCAGGACGAAGGGGGTCAGGGGTGAGCACAAGCTTGTCCCACAGGCTAGCACATGGTTTCAGGAATAGCATCACGCTGCTCTCAACGTGAGAGATCCTCTGCTGCCTTATTTCTGCTCCCACAAAGGATGGCAGCTCTTCTTCGCAGGAACACGAGCAGAAAGAGCATCACCACATCCCCGCACCGCGAACAGCCAGCCCAGGGCAGGAGCTGGGCAGGCTCCAGGGCTGCAGCCGTCCTGCTGTCACCTCCAGCGTGGTGCTGACACAGGCACTGATCACCTACAGGCGCAGCCGCTTGATATCCTCGCTGCGGAAATCGATTCGGAGAGCCAGCACCTGCCGCACCTCGGCCGGAGTCAGGCGCCAGGTGAGTGGGCCAGAGTTCGGGCCCCAGTAATCCAGGATCTCCATCACCTGGAGAAAGAGGAGAGGAGATGAGAGCTGGAGGAGACAACCGAGCACCAACCGCCCTCGCAGGTGAGTTCAGACTCTGGCTATGGGCACGGTATTTCCTGCCACTAAACCCTGCAAACACCCAGCAGGCATCAGGCTGAGAGAGTTGGGGCTGTTCAGCCTGGAGAAGAGAAGGCTCCAGGGAGACCTTCTAGTGGCCTCCCAGTACCTGAAGGGTCTCCA